CCCAGACCATGTCAGACACGCACGGTTCTGTTGGGAACGACTCGTCAGGGTTTCTAGTGACCGAGCACATCTGCATTCTTTCTTGTCATCAATTGACATCTTTATCACAAGCTTCACTATTCTGTCAGCTGAAATTTCACTTTCATTGTTTTTATGCATTTGAGACGAAATTCAAATAAAAATCTCATCATAGCAGTTTATTATTAAGCACAGACAAACCAGTTAAGATGCCTTTCTCTGATGTAATAACAGAATCCAGCTGATTGGTCCAGGAGCGACGGTCTGGAGGTGATTGGTCCAGGAGCGACGGTCTGGAGGTGATTGGTCCAGGAGCGACGGTCTGGAGGTGATTGGTCCAGGAGCGACGGTCCGGAGGTGATTGGTCCAGGAGCGACGGTCCGGAGGTGATTGGTCCAGGAGCGACGGTCCGGAGGTGATTGGTCCAGGAGCGACGGTCCGGAGGTGATTGGTCCAGGAGCGACGGGCCGGAGGTGATTGGTCCAGGAGCGACGGTCCGGAGGTGATTGGTCCAGGAGCGACGGTCCGGAGGTGATTGGTCCAGGAGCGACGGTCCGGAGGTGATTGGTCCAGGAGCGACGGTCCGGAGGTGATTGGTCCAGGAGCGACGGTCCGGAGGTGATTGGTCCAGGAGCGACGGTCTGGAGGTGGTTGGTCCAGGAGCGACGGTCTGGAGGTGGTTGGTCCAGGAGCGACCGTCTGGAGGTGATTGGTCCAGGAGCGACGGTCCGGAGGTGATTGGTCCAGGAGCGACGGTCCGGAGGTGATTGGTCCAGGAGCGACCGTCTGGAGGTGATTGGTCCAGGAGCGACGGTCCGGAGGTGATTGGTCCAGGAGCGACGGTCCGGAGGTGATTGGTCCAGGAGCGACGGTCCGGAGGTGATTGGTCCAGGAGTGACGGTCTGGAGGTGATTGGTCCAGGAGCGACGGTCTGGAGGTGATTGGTCCAGGAGCGACGGTTTGGAGGTGATCGGTCCAGGAGCGACGGTCCGGAGGTGATTGGTCCAGGAGCGACGGTCCGGAGGTGATTGGTCCAGGAGCGACGGTCTGGAGGTGATTGGTCCAGGAGCGACGGTCCGGAGGTGATTGGTCCAGGAGCGACGGTCTGGAGTTGATTGGTCCAGGAGCGACGGTCCGGAGTTGATTGGTCCAGGAGCGACGGTCCGGAGGTGATTGGTCCAGGAGCGATGGTCCGGAGGTGATTGGTCCAGGAGCGACCGTCTGGAGGTGATTGGTCCAGGAGCGACGGTCCGGAGGTGATTGGTCCAGGAGCGACGGTCTGGAGGTGATTGGTCCAGGAGCGACGGTTTGGAGGTGATCGGTCCAGGAGCGACGGTCCGGAGGTGATTGGTCCAGGAGCGACGGTCTGGAGGTGATTGGTCCAGGAGCGACGGTCCGGAGGTGATTGGTCCAGGAGCGACGGTCCGGAGGTGATTGGTCCAGGAGCGACGGTCCGGAGGTGATTGGTCCAGGAGCGACGGTCCGGAGGTGATTGGTCCAGGAGCGACGGTCCGGAGGGGATTGGTCCAGGAGCGACGGTCCGGAGGTGATTGGTCCAGGAGCGACGGTCCGGAGGTGATTGGTCCAGGAGCGACGGTCCGGAGGTGATTGGTCCAGGAGCGACGGTCCGGAGGTGGTTGGTCCAGGAGCGACCGTATGGAGGTGATTGGTCCAGGAGCGACGGTCCGGAGGTGATTGGTCCAGGAGCGACCGTCTGGAGGTGATTGGTCCAGGAGCGACGGTCCGGAGGTGATTGGTCCAGGAGCGACGGTCCGGAGGTGATTGGTCCAGGAGCGACCGTCTGGAGGTGATTGGTCCAGGAGCGACGGTCTGGAGGTGATTTGTCCAGGAGCGACGGTTTGGAGGTGATCGGTCCAGGAGCGACGGTCCGGAGGTGATTGGTCCAGGAGCGACGGTCTGGAGGTGATTGGTCCAGGAGCGACGGTCCGGAGGTGATTGGTCCAGGAGCGACGGTCTGGAGTTGATTGGTCCAGGAGCGACGGTCCGGAGTTGATTGGTCCAGGAGCGACGGTCCGGAGGTGATTGGTCCAGGAGCGACGGTCCGGAGGTGATTGGTCCAGGAGCGACCGTCTGGAGGTGATTGGTCCAGGAGCGACGGTCTGGAGGTGATTGGTCCAGGAGCGACGGTTTGGAGGTGATCGGTCCAGGAGCGACGGTCCGGAGGTGATTGGTCCAGGAGCGACGGTCCGGAGGTGATTGGTCCAGGAGCGACCGTCTGGAGGTGATTGGTCCAGGAGCGACGGTCTGGAGGTGATTGGTCCAGGAGCGACGGTTTGGAGGTGATCGGTCCAGGAGCGACGGTCCGGAGGTGATTGGTCCAGGAGCGACGGTCTGGAGGTGATTGGTCCAGGAGGGACGGTCCGGAAGTGATTGGTCCAGGAGCGACAGTCTGGAGGTGATTGGTCCAGGAGCGATGGTCTGGAGGTGATTGGTCCAGGAGCGATGGTCTGGAGGTGATTGGTCCAGGAGCGACGGTCTGGAGGTGATTGGTCCAGGAGCGATGGTCTGGAGGTGATTGGTCCAGGAGGGACGGTCCGGAGGTGATTGGTCCAGGAGCGACGGTCCGGAGGTGATTGGTCCAGGAGCGACGGTCTGGAGGTGATTGGTCCAGGAGCGACGGTCCGGAGGTGATTGGTCCAGGAGCGACAGTTTGGAGGTGATTGGTCCAGGAGCGACGGTCCGGAGGTGATTGGTCCAGGAGCGACGGTCCGGAGGTGATTGGTCCAGGAGCGACGGTCTGGAGGTGATTGGTCCAGGAGCGACGGTCTGGAGGTGATTGGTCCAGGAGCGACGGTCTGGAGGTGATTGGTCCAGGAGCGACAGTCTGGAGGTGACTGAACAGAAACTCTTTCAAAGCTTCTGAAGCTGCAGACAAAACTGGTGTTTTTACTGAGTGTCATAAATCAGCTGAAAGTGAGCTCGTGCTTCCTACGGTCCGTATTTCAGAAGGTTTTCTGTCTCTGGACATTATTAATCATACAGATTGGAGTGTTCTCCGTCAGATTCACATCAAGATGCAGAGTTTTTAAATGATTGTTCACATCTAATCTGTGAGATTTATTCAAGTTCTGAACTTTCCTTTGATTCTGTGAACATGAACCTCTGATCTTTCGAGTTTCTGTGTTCCATTTATCTCAGACCGATTCCCATCTCCGACAAAGGAATTCTATCTTTGTTTTCCATTTAGTTTCTCGTATCACATCTTGTTTCGCTTCCGAACCGGGAGATAAAACACATTCCTGCGTCTTCTTCTCTTGTGGTTCACTGAGATATTAAATCAACAAAGATGTAAACAAAACTGTAAACAGAAGAAAGAAGCTTGTTCTGTTCAGTCAGAGTCTGCATGGAAGGTTGTTTCCTTGCAAAACCAACCTGAAGACCTTATTTGCATCACATCTCCATCGGCCAATGAGAATGCTGCAACAGCTTTGACTTCACCTTGATTAACCTTAGCTGCAGCCACATTGGGTGCCACTTAGACCTCTGTTAGCTCCTTTCTGAAGGAACAGTTAAGCCCTCGTTCTGCTACGTCTAGCCTAATTAAGTAAGCTAGCACATGCTAATTGTGGCTACTTAGCATGGTGGACACTCACTAACTGGCAGGTTCTTTCTCCTAAACCCTGGGAGTTCAAGGAATGAGGAAGACGACGCCCATCATGCTAGCAACTCTTCTACTTCTAACAGTTTAAGCGCCTCGTGAATTTTATCTTGAGAGGCGCTATAGAAATTATATTTTCTTCTTCTTCTTTCTAGTGCTAGCAGACGGATAAGTGCTTGTCCATTGTGCCTCATGTAGCGTGCAATGCTCCATAACTCAACCCTAGAGAGATGCACGGTGCTCCTGTACAAGATTTAGGGAGCTTCATCCACAGCTGGGAACACATCTCTCTAAAACCTTCAAGCCTTCAGTGGAGCTGAACACTGAGGATGTGAAGGACTGTCCTGGGGTTGGCCAATCATCCAAATTTGGCCTGTTGATGGCATAAGGGAGGAACTCTAGGGATTAAATGTGGTTTTTCTAATAGTAATAATGACTAAAGCTGGAAATCATGTCTTTTTTTGTCTGCCCTGGGATCTCTTCCCAGTGGAACATGCCAGGAAAACCTCCAGAAGGAGTCTTCCAGGACCACTTCTACTCTGAGCTCCCCCAGGATTATGGATCCCATCACCTCATCTCTAAGTGAGACCACCCTTTGGTAAGCGTACATTTTCACCAACATTTTTCCTGTTTTCTCTTTTTAACACTGACTAAACTATGTAAAGGACTGTCGCATCAGTACATTCTCACAAACATGTTTGGACCAAGGTGGTGGGAACACGTCCGATGGAATCACAAAAGGAAGTAAACGTTTTATCAAAGGAAAGTCAAAAGGTGAAACGGAGGCTGCTGTACAAAGAGACCGAACCCGTGGGATGGCGCTTTTAAAGAATTCCCCAAGGGAGGTCGCTGACTGCTGCTGGAGCCACTGGAGCCATTTCTGGTTCCCCCGGTTCCACTGGAACCGGCACAATGGGCGTCACGCAGCTAAAAGCTTTGAAAGGCTGGCTGGAGGCGGTCTCCTCCAACAAACGTAGAACATAATTAAAAATTATTTCACCGGAGCTTTGACTGAGACCTGGCTGAAAGAATCCACGTCTGTCGTGTCAGCGTGCTGACCGAGTCTTTGTGGTGACAAAATGTTTCACAACAGGAAGTAAAACCTCTCAGCAGTCATTCAGCCAATCATTATCAAAATGTTGGAGGCAAACGTCAAAGCCCCGTGGAATCGTTTTAGAATTTCAAACTAAAACAGGACGGTAATTATTAGCTGATGCCGTCATGTCCGGTGAATTGTTTCCTGATACCTGAATCAGGTTGGGGTTTGAGTCAGTGCCACGACTCGTGGAAGATGTTTAACCCAAGACATGCAGAATCAACTCGACACCACTGGGCAAGTTAAAGTTCTTTATTTTACACCGGGAACTAAAGCAGCACTGGGAAGTCCAGTGGATGATGTGCCGTAAGGCGTCAGTCCAGATAGTAAGCCATGGATGACGAGGAAGGTGGTGGGCCGAGGTGAGCACAGGTGGAGGACCCGTTGGCCGAGGTGGGTGAGGCAGCGGAGAGGACCAAGGCAGGTACTGTGGAGGAGAATGGGACGTGGTTCTGGTGATCCGGGGTTTGAGCGGCGAAGGTAATGGAAGTAGTTGAGTGTTCCTGAACAGGGCAAAGCAGACAGGGTTCAGCGGCAAATCCAAAAACGTAATCCAAAAAAAATAAAACAGTCCGTGGTCATAAATCCTAATAATCCAAATCACGAGTTCTAGTGAGCAAACAAACACAAGTGGCTGGGGCTACCTAAACTGGAGCAATCATACGGCATCGAGTGGTGTCTCCATCCTCCCTTCATACCAGTACTCCTGATTGGAAATCCAGCGCAGCTGGTGACCCCTCCGCTCCTCACCTGTGGGAAATAACTCCAAGATAGTTGGTAGATGAGGAGCACTCACCACGGCTCGTGAACCATGACAGTCAGGTAACCTGATGCTCTTGTGGGACAAAAATTCCTGGTGCCTTTTTACCTGATGAATGATTTCTGCTGGTACATAAAGTCTTGTTTCTAACTGGCTGACAGATTAATGATAACTGATGCCCTTTAGTTGGACTGATGTCCAGATAAATGTTGCTTTTTTCTAATGGCTAATTCCCTAAACCTTGATGCCTTTTGTCTAATTATTTCTTTCATTGCTGTCATGATCTCTTGTGCTTTTCTATGCTGATGAATGTGGTTTGCTGATATTTAATATATTTGTATGACACATGTTGTCCCGACATCTGATACCTTTTGCCTAGTTAATCTATTTTTGATACCTGATGCACTTTTTGTGATATTTGTCGTTGCACTTGATTTGTCTGAAAGATGAATTATCATTTACTACCTGATGCTTTTCTCTTGATGCGTAATTTTTATCTGACAGATAATTTTAAATCCATTTTTGGTTCTTTGTAAAAACACAGAAGAGGTTTCTTTTTACCTTGCTACTGGCAGAGGGTCAGCTCTGAGGAAGTTCGCAGCCGTGAACGAAACTGTCAGCAGCAAGGTAAAAGAAACCTCGTCTGTGTTTTTAAAAAGAACCAAAATTTGATTTAGAAGTCAAACACAGTAAGAACATACGAAAGATGAAAGATAATTTTCCTGATACCTGATGCTTTTTCAATTACACATTTATTTTCCTGATGCTTTTTTCTCTTGATGCATGATAATCTTTGTCTGAAAGATAATTTTCCTGAAACCTGATGCTTTTTCATTGACAAATTTATCTTCCTGATGCTTTTTTCTCTTGATGCATGATAATCTTTGAAAGATAATTTTCCTGATACCTGATGCTTTTTCATTGACAAATTTATTTTCCTGATGCTTTTTTCTCTTGATGCATGATAATCTTTGTCTGAAAGATAATTTTCCTGATACCTGATGCTTTTTCATTGACAAATTTATCTTCCTGATGCTTTTTTTTCTCTTGATGCATGATAATCTTTGTCTGAAAGATAATTTTCCTGATACCTGATGCTTTTTCAATGACACATTTGTTTTCCTGATGCTTTTTTCTCTTGATGCATGATAATCTTTGTCTGAAAGATAATTTTCCTGATACCTGATGCTTTTTCATTGACAAATTTATCTTCCTGATGCTTTTTTCTCTTGATGCATGATAATCTTTGAAAGATAATTTTCCTGATACCTGATGCTTTTTCATTGACAAATTTATTTTCCTGATGCTTTTTTCTCTTGATGCATGATAATCTTTGAAAGATAATTTTCCTGATACCTGATGCTTTTTCATTGACAAATTTATTTTCCTGATGCTTTTTTCTCTTGATGCATGATAATCTTTGAAAGATAATTTTCCTGATACCTGATGCTTTTTCATTGACAAATTTATCTTCCTGATGCTTTTTTTCTCTTGATGCATGATAATCTTTGTCTGAAAGATAATTTTCCTGATACCTGATGCTTTTTCAATGACACATTTGTTTTCCTGATGCTTTTTTCTCTTGATGCATGATAATGTTTGTCTGAAAGATTATTTTCCTGATACCTGATGCTTTTTCATTGACACATTTATTTTCCTGATGCTTTTATTTATTCCTGATACCTTGTACTTACCTTTGTCTTACAGATTGTTTTCCTTATACACAATGTTTTCTCATTCTCTCCTGATGCCTTTTCATTGAATGTTGAAGATCATGGGATCTTTGGTGTTTCCTGAAAATAAAAAATAACTAAAGTCAACACCAAACTCACAGCTAAATCTGAGCAAATGTTATGATCCAGTTATCTTAAGCCTGTTTCAGATAACATAATTATCCTGGAGAAAACTTTAGTAATCACGCGAGTGTACAAAGATAATCACCTCTAACAGTTTTGTAATGTTTCTTGTTCATTTGAGACTCAGTCAGCTGTTTTAAGTCTTATTGGTTGCTTTGGCTTTGGTTCTTCTCTTATTTCTCAGGATTTGTTGTTGCACGAGCTGCGAGAAAAAGCCAAAAGTCTGCTTTTCCACTCGAACAGGTTGATTTGTAACCTTTTTCCGGGGGCGACCTCTTGTTGAGTGCAGAAAATGACTCTGACCTCAGGCTCCAGCAGTGTAATCGTGTGTTCACTTCACTTTAATTACCAATTACTCACAGAGGGCGGTAACATTAGACGCTTCTCCAGGCGACAAAAAATCAAGTCGTGCCTTAAGGATGATAAATCCAGACTAGTCGAGCGTATAGATTAGGATGCTTTATTTTCAGATTTTTTACTATTTCATTTGGCCTGATCAGGAAATAATTAATAAAATTGTTGTTTAAAAATGCTTAAAGTCTGGATCAGAGGTCAGAAAATGATCCTTTTCAGGATTTAACGAAGTCATTTTAGTTTATTGTCTCGGTTAGAACTATTATTCGGATTTGATGCTTAAAGAAGTTGAACCAAAGATGAGATTTCAGAGGTTTGGAGTATTTTTAAAAAGCGGAGCTTGTCGAGTTTGTGAGCAGCAGGAGGCCGACCTTCTCACAGCAGGGTGCTGATGAAAGGTCACCAACAAGTGTAAACCTCACAGCTTTTCTACTTTTGCTTGAACAATAATTTGGCTTTCTGTTATTTGTAGTTTTCAAGGCGTACAACGTAAGTTCTTTGTATTTGTCTCTTTTTTTATAAAACATTTGTCAATAAAAAGCAAATAAATAATGTTTATGTTTGTTAAAAAAACAACAACATGTTCACAACTGATTAAAAACCATCTTTACACATCGGTTCTAAACTGGTTTCATCTGGTTTTTTAGCGTTTTTAGCATTTCTTTGTGATGCATGAAGTCAGGTAGTTTATGTTTAATGTGCTGAAGATGATTTACACCTTGCAGACGTTTGCACACAGTAAGCTTCATTGACATGAAGAGATTATACATAAAAGAACTACTGGAAAATTTGTTTGACATGAAGAATTGTGCAAAAATCTAAATCTGCGTTTAACTGAGTGTTAAATTACAGTTTTTATGTCAGTAATGAATTTCATCCACACGGGTAAGTCACGGAGTTCCTCAGGGTTTGGTGCTCGGCCCTAAAACTTATTTAAAGTCAAATTATTTGACAAAACAAGATGAGTTTCCATTTTTATGCTGATGACAGTAAGTTGTACTCATCCATCAAGCCTGAAGAATCCAATCACTTAAAGGTGCAATTTGTACAAAATCTACAGTAAAATAACCAGAAAACAACAATCACGTTGGAAGGAAGGTTATATTAAAACAGATTTCATCGTGGGTTTGCTGGGAGTTTTTCTCCTATTGACAAATAAAAAGAATTAGACACTGTTTACTCTCTGAGTTTGTGATGCTGACAAATCTGCAGTGAGCTAATGCTGCAGCCAGGCACTTTTAGTTTGACACTGGTGGGAAAAAAGCTCCAGAGTTGTTTAAAGTATCAAAGCCAGTCAACAGGAGTGACCCAAAAGTTATTTCCTGTACCCCTAAGAAGCCACAGCATTTTTTTATTTTACTCTAACATTGGGTGATGCAGGCTAGAGGTCAACGTCGAGCTGACAGTGCTAATGGTGAATTAGAAGCAAGTGACTGTCTTTAAACACATGTCAAGCTACTTTTTCAGTTACTAGCAACTGGATACTACAGTAAAATGTGTGTGTGTGTATAGTAAATACTGAGTCAATCGTGGCGTTTTACTTACTTTAATGAGTTATTCAGAACTGTAACAAGCTAACAGGATGACGGCGACTTTTCCTCTAATGCCGGAGACAAACTACCATAATAAGTGTAGTAATTGCTCCCTACCGTATAACAACTTACTGTGTATGACTCGTCTCTGCTTGTCATCTAGAATTTGTAACTGGAAACGGCTACAAAACTCACGGAATGGGAGTGAAAGTTTTTGTTCAGAAAAATGGGCCGCAGTACCCAGATTTGACCACAGGATGTCATTCTTACAAATTGCACCTTTAATTATATTACATGCATGTAATATATTTTTGCATGATTTAATGTTTCTAGTTTTTAAATTCAAATACAACAAACGTGTCGCTTGGACCTGCGCGCGTTAGAAACAAGTCCTCCACTTCCTTTGGATTGCATAAATCAGCCCTCACAGCTAAAACGGGGAACCTTCTGGAACAGAAGCTGTCCTTTAACTCTTGTATAAAACACGTCTCAAGGACTCCCATCTCACATCTGAACAGCATAGTTAAACTTAGGAGCATCCTGATGCAGAACGGCTACTTTATTCTGCTTCCAGGTAATTTTTTTTTAATAATAATTGTGTATTAGGATGTTTAAAACATGGCTGCTTTCTAAGTTTGGTTAGATGAAAGCAGCTTCTCTTCCTCTTCTGTAAGATTTTCATAATGACGTGGTTGCTGTGAGATTTTCTTTTCTGCGTATTTGAAGCTACAGCAGCAGTTTGATCAGACGCAGAAGCAAATATTGTGAAGATAAAGTGATAAAATGATCATTATGCGCAGCAAAAGGACCTTTTTTGTTCCAGTGGTGCTGCTTCTCTCTCTGTGCAGAAGGTGGTCTGGAGACAACCTTGTCATTTAGGTCATGATGAAAATAAAACATGAGCAGCTTTAATGCTTTTTTCTGTTTGGTGTTTTTTTTTTACCTTCTTTTAGCAGGAAGGCCTTTAAAAGCTCAGCCAGACTTAATTATTGCTGCCTCCCCACACTTTGATGCGAGACTTCATCCACCTGCTGGTAATCTCTGTCCTCAGAGGGAGACGCTGCTGAGAGTTGAACTGGACCGAGGCTGAGGGCCGAGGGCCGGGATTATCGCGGTCCGGAATCTCACCTGGTGGGGATGAGGGTTAAAAGAAAACTGGCTCTAAAATGATGTTTTGCCTCAGCCTTGAGGTGGGGTCAAGCTTTTCAGATTAGGGTGCCCGTGTGCGGCTCGAGTGTGTGATGGCGAGGTGGGGGAGGTAGGAGGCGGGGGGCTGGGGGGCTTCAGAACCGAAGGAGTGAGCCAGGCTCACGAAACAAGTGATTACTAACCTCCGGGCCCTGTTGTAAAATGCCAGCCCTCTGAGGAACGGGCTCGCTGTGTGACCCGTAAATCTTGACATCATCCGACGTTCGGCCATGTTTGTTTCGCTCCAAATTGAGATATGCTATCGCTATTCTGCTCTACACACTGTTACTCATCTGGGCAACAGATTACATCCCATAATTACATGTAAGACACATTTATGGCTTTGTGATCTTTCTGCAGTGGATGTCCCCAAACATGTCCGGAGCTAGCATCACAGACTCCATCTACATAGACACCCCACGGACAGCGCCGCCTACTGGAGGTGGCGTAGCAGCAGGCCGCCATCTTGGATGGGTCTCCATTCGCCCCCCAGTGCATTTATTTCTGCTGAGGAAGTGTCACGTTAGAGGAGGCTGGACCAAATGTGCAGGAACCCAGAACGACACGAAGAGATGAGTATTTCAAGGAATGCAACAAACAAAATCCAAAAGGCTCAAACCCGGGGAGCCATCCCAAAAACTATTCACAGGAGGCGAAAAACTCGACCGCGGGAAACTCGAAACTGGAAAAACACGAGGCTACGACACGCTGCAGGAGACAATAAACCCACAAACACCGAGAGACAAGACAGAGGGAAGCAATCAGGGAAACAGCTAGCAGGTGTGGGGAGTGAACGCTGAAGGAGGCAGGAGAGACTAACTAAGTAGGGAAGGGGAAAACTAATCTAAATACTATAAACACAACACTTAAAGGTAAGAGAACCAATAAACCTGAAACTAGAGACAAGAACCCAAAGAGGAGAGAATCTATAAACGGGGAGACTTCATAAGTGAGATGAGTATGAATATGAAGTGACTAGGGGAGCCATGGGGAGCCATGGGGAGAACTGGAAGGGGGTGGGGAGCACAGGGACACACAACATAACAGGAAGGTGTTTACCCAACTGGAAAAAACACATTTATTCTGCTTTTTCTCTAAATCAGACATAAGGTATGACATGATAATCAAAATCTACTCAAATCAAATCAATTCAAATATAAACAGGTAGGCTAGAGATCGGTTTTCATCAGTGTGCTGGTTGTTGACACCATAGACATCGCTGCTCACTCTGCGTTGACTTGTCTACGTGTTCCTGTCTATGGTCATGTCATGTTCCCCCATGCTTGTGTGTTTCCTCCCACAGACCAAACACATGCATATCAGGGTAACTGGAGACTCGTACAGGTGTGACTGGTAGTTTGTCTCGGTGTCCTCCTGTGATGGACTGAACCTGTCCAGGGTGTCCCCCACGTCTCTCCTGATGAGTGCTGCTAGACTCCAGCTCCCTAAGACCCGACTGAGGAGAAAACGGCTGATTTAATAACGCTTCCTGACCTCCAACGTAGAGAACCACCTAGTCCATTCTGTATGATGTAATGAGTAATCTGTAACTGTAGAGTAGTTTAGTAAACGCTGTGTTTTGGTTTGTCGGCTTGAACCTCCTATAAGATAAAAAAATGCTCTTGTGATGCATTATGGGTAGTGGCAGTGTCACTTGCGCCCTGAAATTAGAGGTGCGAGTGCCGATTCTCAAGTATGGAAGTTGACCACGCCTCTTTCGCACCCTTGAGCCGTACTTCACCCAATTCAGCATCGATGCGGACCTGGGTGAGGGGTATTTCCCACAATCCATTGCTGAAAGGTGTTAATTTTAGGACGATTAGTTGATGCTCTGAACGTTTTAGACGAAGCAGCAATAAACGTAAAGTTATTTTAAAAATGGTTGTTTGTTTGAAAGTTGTTAATAAAGGTTTTTAAAAAAAGTATCACAGCATCCTGTGGTCGATGACGCAACACTCCCTGTCTCAATTTGGCAACTATGGGGCGACGGTGGCACAGGAGTTAAGTGCTCGCCCCGTAATCGGAAGGTTGCAGGTTCGAGCCCCGCTCAGTCTGTCGCTGTTGTTGTGTCCTTGGGCAAGACACGTAACCCACGTTGCCTGCTGGTGGTGGTCGGTGGGACCGGTGGTGCCAGTGCTCGGCAGCCTCGCCTCTGTCAGTGCGCCCCAGGGCAGCTGTGGCTACATTGTAGCTCACCCCCACCAGCGTGTGAATGTGTGTGTGAATGGGTGAATGACTGACTGTGTTGTAAAGCGCCTTGAGGGGCTCCAGGACTCTAGAAGGCGCTATATCAAATGCAGGCCATTTACCATAATTTGCACACTTGTGCACCACGCACTCGAAGCCTCACAGCACACTTCCTCCAAGTGCACTACGACCGTAGGGCGAGTATTGGCCTTGATCAGCCATAGTAGCCTCTACGGGAGCCTTTGAGGTTCCGTTTTTGCAGATTTTGTTCAAAACATTCCAGCAATACTGATGTTCAGTAGTCTCAGATGGTGTCGATGAGACCTGGACACAGGTGGAGCTGCGGATAAATCGTGGAATTGTTCTCACAACCAAAAGAAGAAAATCCATCTTGGATCCATGCAGAGATTCATTTAAATGCCTTTGCGTTACTTTTGCACCGACGTGTTGGAGGTGAACTTGACTTCATTGTTCTGCATCTAAAAAAGCAAACCTTCTCATAAACATGATGTGTTTTGTTTATCGTCTCCTGTTAGGAACCACCAAACATTCCCGTTTTCCTGATGTACTCGTCTGCGCTCCCATGTTTCAGAAGCAGCAGCGTTTAATGCTGCCTGCGACGCCGTCCTGCCTCTGAGCGCGCTCACATGCGTGAAATGTCTCACTTACCACTTCAGATGTCTCGACTAAGGGCTTACAAGGATGACTTACAGGCAGCATTAAAGCATGAAGGAACTCAACACTCCACAAAAAATTGGCACGGCGAATTCCTCCCACTCGGGGCTTTGGGTTGCCACATCCTACACCGCGATTCCTTCTCCTTTCTCTGATGAAACAAACTGAGCAAACTCAGAAATCATCAAGGTTTTCTTTGCTTCACGCCAGCTTCCTGCCAAGCTGGCTGGCTTTTCCCCACCGTGAAACTTTCCCATGTTTCCGTGGAGGAAGTCTGTGTTCTGCTCCGCCACGGCTCGGCTCCTCCATCAGGAACACGATGTTCGAGCTGCTGCTGGAGCGCTGATGGACACGTGTGACTTGGAGCTTTAAACTTCCAAACATTCAACAGCTGACAGGCGGCAGCTCCCGTTTAGTCCCGTTTGATCGGAGAGGGTGGGAATAAAAACCACAGGGAGGTTTGAACAAGAAGAAAAATGTTAAATATTTCATCAAATTTATAAGAATTTTAAAAATCCTGCCCTTTTCCTCATTGTCAGCCTTGAAGAGTTAACTTTATTTACATAATAAGACACATCAAAACAAAAATTATTTACAGAAAATTCATTAAAATAAACTTTGAAAGTGAAATCACATAAATAATAAAACAAAAAGACACGTGAGAAGTTAAAAGCAGTGAATTTAGCGCTAGGCTGGTTTAAATCCTGCCTGTCTGATAGATTTCATTTTGTTAATGGACATGACAAATCTTCATGCTCCAGGGTTACTTGTGGAGTACCACAGGGAGGTGGAGTATACAGTCGGTAAAGACGGCTCTCCCTTGCCCTGCCTCCAACATGCCTCCATCTAAAAAGGCTAGGTTACCCAGAGTTATCTCTGTAGTTATGCTGCTATAGGCTTAGACTGCTGGAGGACACACTGACCACTTTCCACACTCGACTACTTTCTTCTACAATCTGCTCTTTAACTGTATTATTTCCTGCTATTTCAGCTGTTAACTTTATTTTCTCTCTAAGTGTTTTTCTCCCCAGAAGAAGCTACAGTGATGTTCTGCTGAGCTGTGGTGGCCTCATGGAGGGGGCCATCGTCTAGCACACTGCTGCTAACCACTTAAACATTCTCCCTCTCCTGATAATAACTTTTTACTTTCCTTGATGTTGAATGTGCTACTACTAGTTCACCCGTTTAATTATAGATCCACTAGGATAAATACATGTGTGTGTGTGTGTGTGTGCGTGCGTGTGTGTGTGTGTGTGTGTGTGTGTGTGTGTGTGTGTGTGTGTCTTCTCCATCCCCAGTGAGTCGTGGAGGATGGCTGCTTATACTGATTCAGGATTCTCTGGAGGTTTCTTCCTGTTAAAAGGGAGTTTTCCTCTCCACTGTCGCTAAATGCTTGCTTAGTATGAGGATTGCTGTAAAGACTCTGACACTAGTCAGTGACTTGATGCAACCTGCTGGGTTCCTTATATATTAAACTTTTTTTCTGATTGGCTTAATGACCTGACCTGGATTGGAACGTTTATTATGTGAAGTGCCTTGAGACGACTCTCTTGTCCTGATTTGGCGCTTTATAAATAAACTTGAATTGAATTTACAGGCCCCATGAACAACAAATCAACAAAATTACACGTTTTTATTTTCTTTTATCACCCTGGAAGTTTTGTTTGTTTGTAAAAATAATTTAACTTCAAAACCTTTCTTCTAGCTTCACTTCCTGTTTTATTTTGTAGTTTCCCCCCTTGATTGGCTCATTGCACCCACCTGTAATGAACCAGAACTCCTGTTATGATTTCCTGAAACGTTCCTGGCTGAAGTTCTTTCTGGATGTGAGCTTCGGTTTTCCAGTTTTCCTGCTGCTCCAGGTCTGTTTCATCTAAATGATGTTTGTGTGAACCCTGCTGTGCTGCTGAACTTCATGTGTGTTTGGGTCTCCCTCCGTCGCCTCTGAATGGAGGCTGCTGGATCTGTTTCTGTGGATCAACGGTGACGTTTAGCATCAGATTTCCACCGGAACCACCTCAGAATGTGAGAAAGTGCTGATGCGTCCTCGGGCTGTAATCTGTGAGCTTTGCAAAGCCATTTATCCTTTTTATCTGCGTTTCTTTGAGCATTTTACTGCAGCAGCTTTTGCTCTTATTCATGGGACACTTCTGGAGTTGTGCAGCTGCAGGTTTCAGCTCCACGCTTTAAGGTCTCCGTTTATTCCCATTGGCTCATTTTAAGGTTAAAACACCTGAAGGGGGGTTTCAGCTGCTCTAAAGCAAACATCTGCAGCTTTTCACACGTTTCCACGAAATGTGAAAATCTTTCCCTGCTTGTTCCAACTCTCACTGGACAGAAGTCATTCCTGGTGTTAACTCTGAGAAGTCTACAGCATGGATCCATTTTCATTGTTTTTTAGCTTAAATTTATAGATTTTTCTAGTTTAAACTGAAAAAAAGGAACATTTAAAGAGCAAGTCACCCCCAAATAAACTTTTTTTGCTGATTAACTAAATAAACGAGTGTCTAATCGTGCTGCAGACATGTGTCGTCAATAATTTGGCACTTCAGTGCATCTTAGTTAAAATTTAAATATTCTGCCTAAAACTGTCAGTGTTGTGCCATTGTCAGGTAAAAACTCTGCACTGTATTTTAATTTAAATCAGCCACCGCTATTGGCTAAGAAGTATGCTATGATGTAAACTGGTACATTATGATGTCACAGTGCTGTCGTGAGCCTGTGTGTGTGTGTGTGTGTATTTGTTAGCGGCTCCGCCCTCTCGGTCTGCTAGGCAACAGCATTTGTTGCATTTTTCAAACATGAAGTGGGAGTGGAGTTAGACTCTGGTAGGGGGTGACTTGCTCTTTAAGGTGGGACAACCCTCAAAGAAAACGGTTTAAATGGATTTAACAGGAACCTAAATAGACTCTTGCTGATTATGACCTTCAGATTCATGAAATGGTGTTAACACCTGCAGAACTTCCAGAACTCCTGCAGAAATGGCAGGACTTTGGTGAAAGTACTAATCCTGTTTGGGAGGTAGAGCTTGGTCCGTCAGACCTGATGCAGCATCGGAGCTCTATCTGGGTTTTTGGTTTGGCTCCTGCTGAGATCCGCTGAAGGAACTTACCAGACGGATTTTTACCTTCTTGGTTTTCTGATCTGACTGGCTGAAGCTGCAGAAGTTCACACTGTTCAATGTTTAATTCAAGGTTTATTTTAATGATTTAGGAGGAAAATTTAAAGTATTTTGGTCTGAAAAAAAAAACAGAAATTAATAATAATGCATTTTATTTATGGGTGCTCTTCAGAACCCCGGGCAGCTGAATGACCTGATAAATATTTAGCTCAAATCCAGTTGGAGCACATAAGACGAGGTAATTAGAGTTTAAACATGAGTAGGGTCGTCACGGTTATTGTGACCAAAATTATCACGGTTTTCGGTATTATCGCTGTATTTTTTTAAACGTGTTACATTTTCAGACAACTACATAAAACCTGTATATCAGGAAAATATTGTCCTCAGTTTGTGTCTAAATTTAGCCTAAAATGTGTTATTTTGTAATGATGTTGTTTATTTGTTTACATTTTTCCCCTTTAGTCTTTAAAATACCAATATTTGCCCATAACTTCTTATTTTATGTCTGTTTGATGTCATCATTTTAAAAATATTAGATCAGATGATACTCAGTACTCAAGTAGCCTTCTAATCAGATACTTTTTTACCCTTACTTGAGTAATAAACCCTATATCAGGAAAATATTGTCCTCGGTTTGTGTCCTTCCAGTGAGCATTGCAGATGTGGGAAAATGTCATCAGGCAGTAATCGTTGTTAAATTCATAATTATTCTCAGAGAGAGACCAACTCTTATCTGCCCCTGGGAGCCCCGTAATGCATAGCGTCATTTCAACATGGCGGTGTCCGCTACACAGTTTATATGCAGGTAGCGGCGCTGCGGCTGCTTTATATAGCGACTCGTTGCGTTCTCCCTCAACCCAAGTCCTCGGATCACGCATTTTAGCTAAAACGCTAACGTTAGCTTGCCTTGCGTTGACTGTAGAGTTGTGGGTGATGGTCACGCAGATGTGTCATGAGATTTGAAGCGTTGCTGCCTTTCACAGACACTTTTTCTGCACGTGCTGCAAACAGGATAGCCGTCTTCTATCAGCTGTCCCTCGGCATTCTTCAAATATCCAAAAGATGCCCGTACTTCCCACTTTGTCTTCTTTGAGGGATAATAAATGTCCTGAGCGCTGCCGTCTCCTCCTTTGGCCATTATTTCAGCTTTAGCTTCAAGAAAGTTTTGGTTGTAAACAACAAAGTGCGCATGTGCCGCCGGCAACTTCAGCAGATGATACGGTGGCTGGTAAGGGTCACCGCGCCTACACCGCAGCCACGCTAATCCACCGAGATAATATATGTTTTTAAAAACAAGACGGTTCTTATTATTGTCAACTTTTTTACCGGGGTTTACCGCTACACCGGTTACCGTGACAACCCTAAACATGAGTTTCTTGCTGTTCTCCTTAAGTTGAAGCAGATGGACACTTGAAAGCTTTAAGTGGTGGACGTCTGTCTGCCCTCCGTCTCTGTCCTTGTCTCTAAAAGCGTCTGACGGGCTCCAGATTGGTTCTTAATTTACAATAAGTCCTTTCTCTGAGAAGGCAGTCCTTCAGAAGCTGGGTGTCCTCATGCATCTCCATCACCGTAACCTCAGTTACCTCAGAGGGGACACTTCACAATGACTGGCAGGCACCTCTAACCCTCCGATCCTCTGAGTTTAGAGACCTGAAAGAGTTTCCCCGAGCAGCCGCCTCTTCTTTATCTATCCATCCATCTATTCTCTCACTTCTGTCCCTCTTTAAAAATCTATAACCACACAAACCAAGCAGCAGCAAAGTAAACTCGATAAGCTAATAGAAACCCGAGTCGTGCCACAAGCCGCTTCCCCTCCGGAGACTTGGCTGGAGCTGCAGCAGCTTCCTTCGGCCGGATCAAAGCGGAGCGGGGTTTGGGTCGGCCGGCCATCTCCAGCTCAACGCTGATTTTATTCTCTCTGGACTGGGAGGCAAAGAGGTGAACGGAGGAGACATCAAAGGAGGGATGGAGGTGAAGGAGGGAGGAGAAGTGATTAAAGAGCCGAGGCCGTGAAGGACGGCCCGGTTCGATCGGCACGACCTGGAATCACAAACATCAAAACAGATGATTTGTGTTGTTCACGGCTGGAAGCTCCGTGGAGGATTACAGTCGGGGCTTCTCCGGTTCCCTCCTCAGTATGGAGGACCTATGTGCTTCATACTGAGGGCCTTGGTCTGGTCTGGACCTGTGAGGGACACGGTTGGACACCTGTCCAGGCGTGAGGGACAAGGTTTGGTTTGGTTTACCTACGGGTGGCAGGTTGGGCACCTGGTTTTTACCTGTTGCAGACACTTTGTAGGTCACTCACCTGGGTGAAGGCGGATAGCCTAACAAACCTTTGTTCCATGGTGCGACGCGGGTGGAAAACCGCACCAAGTCACCTGTGGACACACCTGTAGGATATCGGACGTGCCCTGCCACGGCCACCACAGGTGAACCTCAGGACTGTAACTCTCCACGGAGCTTCCAGCGGTGCACCAACACCTGCTTTTGTTTGGCTGGGTTGTGCGGAGACGACGGGGCCGTCTCCTGTTGCTCCTGTAACGAGTTGCTTGTTCAGCGAGCTGCAGGCGTGTCGTAAACACGGAGCAGCCACACCTGCAGTGTCTCCTCGCCAAAGCTTTGATCGCCTAGCGGCTGATCAAAGCAAACCTGGTTCTACTTGCTGTTAGCTAAACGACGTCTAGATGCTAGCGGTGGTTAGCTTTGCCGTTCCAAGTCAGACACCTGCACCGACGTCCTCCCAGACGGTGACAGCATGAATGCACCAACAGTTGCGTCCCTACGGTTGCTCCCTTTAACGCTGATCGATGCTTATTTATTAAAACCAAACATCTTTCGACTCTTTCAGCTTTTTTGCAGACAGCTGATGTTTAGAAAACACGACGTCTCAGATTTAAGCTCCTAATCTGAACTTGCGACCCTGATGAGACGAGATTTATCACAAACCTTAAACTTCATAAACCTCAGAGAGAAGAAATGACAAAATAAAAGCTGAGCTACTGAATAAAAACCAGCTGTGATGATTTGAGACTTTCCAGGGTTTAGCTGCGTTTTGATTAGCGTCTCTGTGTGTTTTAAGTCCTGACGGGGTTTCTCCGCCTCGCCGTGACCGACGTGAGCTCGTTTGAATAAACCACGCTTGGCGTACGTTGACACAAAGCGACTGTGACTTTGTTTACAGCATCATTATAGCAGGAGGGATGAATTTGCTCTGTTAGCTCTGCGGGCCAAACGGGCCCGCAGCCAGAGCGCGCTCGTTATTCATGTCACACACAAATCCCCCCCAAATCACATTTCTGTGGCCTTTCTGCGCTTCTGAGCCAGAGGAGATCATCAGCCCGTCGTCTGACGGTTTCACGACCAGAACCCGTGTTTTTGTCTCCAGGTGGAGGCGGTTTTAATATCAGCACATGATGAACGTTACAGCCCGCTATCTGGGCCACCAACTAGTGGCTCTACGGCCTCTAATAATCATGATGATGGTGTTTCTCATCGTGTGTCGATAGGATCTGCTGGTGAAGGTTGAAGCAGAAGAGAAACGTGCTGCAGGATCTATTTAGTAGGTAAAGAGTTCCAATTTAAAGCACTGACATTTTTTTATTTTACTGTTTTTATCGTGTTTAATTTGATCTTCCTGCAAACGAATCGAACTGGGAGCTCTTACAGAAAGGGTGTCCTAGTCCGAGTCTGCAGCCGTACCTCTCTCGTCGTTCCGACCGAGGACGGGTTGGTGGATCCGGACGAGGTTTGGGTTTTTACTGATCAGCAGGAAGCGTCGACTCGGTTGTACAGACGTGAGCGAAGTGTTGTCAGAAATGCTGCCGAGTTTGCTGCAAGTTAGAAAAAACAACCAAGTCGCCAAGTCGGCGTCACTGATCCTGGAGCGGTGCTGCGCACGCCACGTTAGGAAGCTCCGCCCCTTTTAGAGCTAGACGTACGTATTGAGAGTATGAACAAGGCATAGAAAGATGTTTTAAGTAATTTTCACACAATTAGGGTTCAGTTTCGGTTTGGGACATTTCGGGACGTTCGCCTCAAAAAACGTCCAATCTCATTTTATTTAACACATAAAATTATACATCAGGACATAAAAAATCTTGTTTTCTTTCACCTACAGAGGCTCTTTTTTAACGGACGATGTTTGGCTTTCTATCAAATCCCTTCAGAGTTTGTTTCATTCATTCATTTGTTGGTTTTAGAGCCTTCAAATCAGCCGCAGTGCTCAACGGACCACAGAAGCCGTCAGCCTCTTCGAGTTCCTTCATATCTAAACAGAAACTGGTCATAAACTAGCAGGTGATTAACAGGCTTCTGCAGAGCCTGATGAGCTGCTGCAGGTGCTTCAACCGCTGAATCAGACGTGTTGGCGTAAAGACATGCAGGAGACCCGCCCTCGAGGACCAGGGTTCCCCGCTCCGGCTCTAGAGGTTTAGGATCACACCGTTTCATTCGTGCAGGAGAGAAACATTGATTATAACATTTATAACCGAGGGATGGTCTCCAGCATGTTTTAGTGGTTTCTCTGCTCCAGCACTAGTATTAGTGGTTAAATCACCTGAGCAGCAGCTCTTCAGGCTCTGCAGAAGCCTGTTAATCAACTGCTGATTGAAGTGGGGTGTGTTGAAGCCGAGTTAAAGCCCTCCGTGCCTGGAATAGAACATTCCAGGTTTTGACCCTTCGTCATCGGTCACATGACCTCGGGACGAGGCCACGGCTCCTGCAGTGCTGCTGAATCCCGGTGAGCCGTTTCAGCTCAGATCTCAAGGTGAGTGATGATTTATAATGGGTAAGATCTCCATGGTAACGCTCTGATGAACAGGAGGTGATGGGGGGTGTTCAGTGTTTAGTTTACAGAAGTCCAACAACGTCTCCCGTTCCGCGGAGACGCCGTCCTTCACCGCTTAGATTCAAATTCAAAAACACTTCCTAATTTCCCTCTGGGATGAATAGTTTCAGTACACGCCATTCCACGATCAGACATGCATGGACACATGACAAGGATTGGTGACTGTGGTCATTCGCAACACGACTCGCACTACCTTAATAGATCAAGAGGGTTTGTCAGGGGGAGGGAAAAAAGGATGGATGCTGCTCCGTGTCCCTCAAAGACACGATGGACTGTTGGTTCCAAGGACCAGAACTGGGGAAAAGAAGCGAGGAGGTCTAATTACCCCGCTGCTCAGACGGACCTCTTTAATCACTGGGCCGCGCGGACGGGACCGGAACGATTAAGTGGAGCAAAAGTCAGCCTGATAAATCGGCTGCTTGTTTAGTCTGCATCAACAAACCTCCATTAAACATCCGAAATGAGGGAAAACGGCAGGAATTCTGCTCAAATCCCAGAAAAACCCTCTGAGTTTTGAGTTGAGACGATGAGTCGGGAAGCATCATGGACGTGTGTCGGTGCAGAGTCATTACTGCTAGGAGTCAACAGATGGCAGGATGTAGCTGCATCATTTGTATGCACCGGCATGCCGACACACACACACACACACACACACACACACACACACACACACACACACACACACACACACACACGCAGCAGGGGCCTGCAGAATACACAGTGCGCTCTCAGAGGATGGAAGGATTCTCTGCTCTTCTGTGATTAATGGGCTGATTGAGGCTGGAGCCAAAATGGAGGGGGGGCCAGTTTGAAGCCCACTAATGAGGTGATAATGGAGAGGTGGGTGGCGGAGGCCACCGCCCCACAGGACGGTGGACTCGTCCCTGGGAGGGCGAAGCGACTGGCTGAGAGGACGAGTGTAAATATCGGAGGTGGAACAGGATGGCGGGAATGCAGCTTCCTGTTGGACGGAGCACGAGGCGTTTCATCACGCGGACGATGAACGATCCGCCCGTTTACTCGTCGTGAATGTTTTATGAATCAGAATTTATAATCAGGTGTGTTTTAGAGCCGTGCTGCTAAAGCCTCTCGGCTCGCCTCGGATTTCACTAAAACGCACGTTTTACCTGATATGACCCCCCCCTCCCCCAGCCGCGCGCTCATGAAGACGTAGAAGCTCCGGAAACGAGTTTCTACTAAACAGCATCAGCTCTACTCACATAAACATTTTAACCCTCAAAATGCCAACTTTTAAAAATGCGACTCTGATTTGTTCCCAGCGTGGTGAAGAGAACAGATTTTATGATTTATCTGCATTTTCAGTCCTTTTGCTTTATGAGAAATTCTCTAAATGAGATTAAAACTTTTTCTTTCTCACAACTTTTAATTTAACCGTCTTCATCCTCACCTGAACATCTTCCTTTCCAACAGATAACGAGAATAAATGCACCAAATAAATCTCATTGGAGAAATAAAGTTTTTCCGTCTGTTTTGCTGTAAAAGCTACAGATGATGTAAGAATAAGAACTTTATGAATAAAACACTAATATTACCTTAATTCCACCAGAAAAGGACAAAAATGTTGGATTTAAACCAGTTGAGGAGTCAAAAAGCTTCAGGCCTGATCATCCGAGTCTCTGGAATCCCCTGCAGATTAAATAATCTGTAAAAGAAAATGCATTAAATTCAGATTATTTGACGTTTACTCTTGTTATAAATAACAGACGTGTCTTAAATAAAACAGCCGATAAATGAGAAAGTGACGTATTAAAGTTTGATTTTGATGTTTTTGGTAACCGTCTGAGCGCTGACTCGACGCTAAATCCGACTTAATGAAACGCAAAGTTGAAATAAAAAGTTCAGAGAAGTTCTGGTTCAGGTGGGAGGACGTCGTCTGTCTAGATCAAACTTCTCAAAGCGTCTCAGCATCTGTTACCATGGAGACGATGACCGACGGCAGCATCGTCTCCAGGAGTAACCATGTGAGTTTTCTCATGAGTCAGACTTGGGTTGGATTCATGAGAAAACTCCAGAACATCACGTTTGTTCGTGTTTTTGATCCCGTTCGTGACGTTCCTGGATCTCCCGAGGAGAAGAGAGGAAGTCGGGATCAGATCGTTGCTGTTTGCAGACGACGTGGTTCTGTTCTTCTAGCCTGGACCTTCAGCCGGCGCTGGGAGGAGCCGGATCCTCTAAATCTGAGGTTCACAACAGGGAAAAATACGGAATTCTTCTGGTTTAGGACTTAAACTTAGGCTGCGTGGTGGTGCAGTTGTTAGCACTGTTGCCTCGCAGCACGAAGGTTGCAGGTTCGAAACTCGGCTGTGGCCTTTCTGCGTGGAGTTGCGTGTTCTCCCCGTGCATGCATGAGTCTCCTCCGGGTACTCCGGTTTCCCCCACAGATCACAACATGCCCTATAGGTTATAAATTGTACGTCGCCTTGGATAAAAGCGTCTGCCAAATAAATAAACATAAACGGAGTTGAAGATCTGGGAATCAGCGCTTTGATCCGGAACAAAAACGTTTTGGCTAAAATGATCTTGCTCCAAAAGGATGCTGATCTCATCCTGAGGAGCTCAGAGGAGCCGCTGCCCCTCCTCATCAGAGGGAGTTAGTAGAGGAGGTTCAGGGATCTGATCGCCACCTCCTCTGGAGGTTTTCCAGGTGGTCCTGGGAAAACCCAGAAGCTCATTCCCTCCGGGAGCTCCAGGAGGAGCTGGGGAACGCGACGATGAACTTTTTACTTTCCTGCAACAAAATGAGACGATTTATCAGGTAAAATCATAAAAATCACCTTTTCTGTCTCCGGGAGTTTCACTGACGTTGTTTTACCCGACTCTGGAATTCTCTGGAATTCTGCTGCTTCCGAATGATCTGTCCATTCATGACAAATGACTCTTTTTGAGGCTTTTTGTTCACATTGAAGAAACAGAATCCAAACAGAAAAGTAAAAACTTTTACGTTTCTAAAGATTCAGTCAAAAATAAATAAAGTTTTTATGATCTGTCAGAACCGAGCCCGACCGGGCCGGACTCGCCACCCAGCAGCGCTTGGTGTTCTGGTTCTGGGTGGGTGTAAACCGCGTGTGCAGCCGGTTCTTTAGTGGACCGGTTCTGACCCAGTCTGGCCTGTGAACCTGTTCTGGTTCTGGTCTTTGGACCTGCTCTAGGGGCAGCAGTAGACCAGGACGTAGAGCGGGTTGTCCTTGGAAGGTTGCAGGTTCGATCCCAGCTCCGTCAGAGAACGCTGCTGTTGTGTCCTTGGGCAAGTCCTAACCCGCCGTGCATGCCGGTGGAGGTCGGAGGGACCGGTTCTGACCAAGTCCTCCAAACACACCCACATCACCCCGCTTCTCCTCCAGCTTCACTGGCTGCCAGTCAACTTCAGGGTTCATTTCAAGATCCTGGTTCTGGTCTATAGGGCCTTACATGGACAAGCACCATCTTACATTGGTGATCTTCTTAGTCCCTACACCCCCAGCAGGTCCCTGAGGTCCAGTGACCAAAGCCTACTGGTTGTGCAGCACCAGGCTAAAGGTCAAAGGTGACAGATCATTTGCTGCTGTGGCCCCCAGACTCTGGACCTCTCTCCCCCTGAGCCTGAGATCAGTGGACTCAGTGGTCTCCTTTAAACTCACCTGTTCACTCTGGTGGGACCTTCATCACCTCCTTCTGCTTGTTCTGCTCTTACTCCGACTTTCCCGGGTCCACTGACTTCCCTCTTTCCTGTTCATTTTTAATCAATTTAATGTTTCTCATTTTAATCATTAAAAAATCTTTAATTTTTGAAAATTATAAGTGTGTGTGTGTGTGTGTGTGTGTGTGTGTGTGTGTGTGTGTGTGTGTGTGTGTGTGTGTGATTCACTCTAATGTAAAGCACTTTGGAGTCCTCTGACTCAGAAAGGCGCTGTAAGTTCGGGTCATTGTTGTACTGGTTCTGTTTCCCGGTTCAGGTCCGTAGATTCTGTGTACTGGCTCTTTACCAGTTCCAGACTGGTTCTCAGTTAAAAGTTCTGGTGCCATTCCCAGCTCTGGTCTGGGTCCTGCTGGTCTCTATGCTGGTTCTGGGTCCTGGTCCTGCATACTGGTTCTGGGCTGTCTCTGTTCCTGGTTCTGTATTCTAGTTCTGAACGGTGTCCTGACTCTGGTTCTAGGTTCTGTAAACCAGTTCTGATGCGGTTCCCGGTTCCGGTCTGTGTGTCCCTTCTTTATGCCAGCTTTGGTCTGGTTCTGGTCCGTATGCCGGTTCTGGTCTTCAGTTTCTGGTTCAGTTCCCAGTTCTGACCCTGTATCCTGGTTTTAGTCCTGGTTCTGGTCTCTACTGGTTCTGTCTCCCAGTTTTGGACTGTTGGTTCTGGTCCATATCCCGTTTCTGGTCCGGATCCCGGTTCCGTGAGTGGCCCCGCTCGTGCAGCCTGACTCTCTCCTCTTGGTGACGCTCTGCTGACATCACCGGAGCTCTCTCTCTCCGCTCAGCACCAGAACCGCGGAGCTCCAGACTCACTCCGTCCTCACTTTGTTTGCACGTCGCTCCTGCTGCTGCTGGAACCGAACCGAACCGAGCCGTGAGCCTCGGACTGTCTCGGGCTACCTGAGCGCACTGCGGTCCGGGAGGGTTCGGACTCCTTCCCGCCTCTAACGGGGTTCCGTTCTGCACCGGCTCCGGATCCAGGAGGACTCAGGCAGCGGGGAGAGAAGTTGGCGGGTCAGAACTGAGCCGCGAGTTCTGATTGGGCCTGAGCAGGAATAACCCGGATCCCGGTCCGACACCTCGGTGTTTGGATTTTTACGTCCACCTGGTCTCCAGAGCGGAAGAATGCCCGGAGATTACGCAGCGCGCTGCCCGGCTTCTCCGGGGACACGCGCCTGGAAGCTGCTGGCAGCCGTCCTCCTCATCACTCAAGGTAAGACCCGAACCGTTCCCGAACAGAAGCCGCCTCTGGCTGCGCTCGATGTGGACTGCCCTTCGGTCCGGACGCACAGTGTCCGCGCTGCGCGGCACCTCCGTCCCTCCGTCTGCGGCTGTCGGACGGACCAGAACCCGCAGGAAAAGTTGATCATGCGGCCCGGTTCCGAGTTTGTGTGGAACTCCTGGTCTCAGGGGCGTGGCTCTGCTCGTTGTTGTTCTAGTCTGCAGGTGACTGATCAGGATCTAATCCCCTCTGAGCCTCGCGCGCCGCCGACCTGCAATCCCGTTACCTGCTCGCAGGCGCGTGCAGTTAAACCCCGCTCTATGTGGCTTCTGCTCAGAAACAGAGCAGAAAACGTTCCTGATGGTGCAACAGGGTAGTGGTTCCGGTCCGGTCCGATCCGGGACGGGGTGGGGGCCCGCTGTGGCCCCTGCTGGCCCTGAGGCTGCGGCTGCAGCCATACGCGCCTGAGCATAACTCCTGTTTGTGTGTGTGCGTGTGTGCGTGTGTGTGTGTGTGTGTGTGTGTGTGTGTGTGTGTGTGTGCGTGTGTGCGTGTGTGCGTGTGCGTGCCTTCAGAAACCAAAACCATCAGACAAACTTTAATTTTAGTGTAATTATTAGAACCTGTTGGCCCTAAAACCACATCTATGACAACTTAAGTAGTTATTAGGATGGTTTTCAGCTGATTGGATCATTTTTCTGTTATGAAGCCATAATAAGATCCTCAAAAGCTCCTATTAGGTCTAATGTGCAGGTTTTTGTTCTCCAGCGGCAGCATCTCTGGAAGCGTCTGTCTTCCTGTAACCCACCAGCATGAATCTGCAGGCTGTTGTTTCTCACCTGCATGCTGGAACTCAGATCATCTGTCAGCCATGTCCCCAAATTGTCACAAAGGGGAAAAGAAGATGGGTCATGTTGGAGATGGGAGATCTGTCGTGTGTGTGTGTGTGTGTGGTAGCGCTCCTCCGGGCTCGGAGCTGATGAGGGACCAGGGTGCTGTCTCCTAAACGTGGAGGCGTTTGACCCGTTTGCTCGCAGCTCCTCCTTCCTGGAGCCCCTGTGGCCCCTCTGGGACCATAGAGGCCCAGCTCAGGCCGGTGTGAGAGGATGGATGACACCTCCTCAGATGAGAGGGTCCGGTTAGAGAGCTGTCAGGTTGTGGTGACAGTTTCCCCCCAGGTTACGATTTAATTTGAACTAGAAACGACACAAATGTCGAGTTGGAGCAGAAAACCTCCAGACTGGTGCTCCTGGAGCCTGTGAGGTCACACACACACACACATGATCATCCAGTGGGCGTGGCCTTTTGAGAGCCACCTAGACGTGAACTGGTCCATCTCACTTCTTTTTTTATATAGTTTTATTTAATTAATTGGTGTAAAATAATTAGATTGAAGTAAATAAATGGGATTTTTCTGTTTTGAGGACTTTCTGAAGCCATCATCTGGCTGAGCTTCAGCTTCATCTGCAGCTGGTGGCAACAAAACGCAAACATCCGAAGCCGTGTTTGCCCCCGGGACTCGTTCCGTCATTTTCAAACACGCTCATAAAAATCTACAGCTTCACGTTTCGGGTCAGTCGTCCTCTTGGGAATCCAGAACCAGTGTAGAGTCCTCCGATGAAGGTTCAGAGCAGAACGGAGCTGGACTTGTTTAGCTCCTGAGGAGTTTTCCCACTTTAAACAGAAAAGTTTTGAGCTTTTAGACTCAAGTGAGAGCTCTGTTAATCCCTCCATTCTCCTCCCGACGGTCTTTGTGGTTCTGGTCCACCTGCAGAAGGTTTTGATCACATTCCTGGAGGTGTGTGCTGCTGTGAAACTGTCCAAAGTTCAGATCCAGATCTGCAGTTAAGCTTTTTAAGCCACCTCCTCTGTTGCAGCTCTGAATCAGGTCCTCCGACTGTTGTTTAACAGACCACACCCTCAGGGGCGTGGTCTAAACGTTTAGACCACACCCTCAGGGGCGTGGTCTAAACGTTTAGCACGTAGACCAGAGATGAGGAACCAGAGGAGTTTGGAGGTTCACTCGCTTCAACAAGGCTCTGACAAAAGTTTAACAGCTTGATATTTCCAAGTTTTGGCTCAAACTGAAATTTCAGGAGAAATTTAAATCCATCAGAAGTTGGTCCGAGAGTCTGAAGTAGGCGGGGCATTGACAAAAATGTAAACATAAAGAAATTCAGACATAATTCAGACACGTTTGTAATGATTTCTACAACGCCTCAGGCAGCTGTCCCATTAGTTGACGTGGAGGGGGCGGGGCTTAATGCAGATTCTGCAGCCAGCCACACGGAGGTGCTATTTCTAGAGTTCATCCTGAAATTTAAAAAGCTGATAGGATTTACAAAGTCACATGACAGAACTGGATTTCCGTCTAAAACGTTTTGCGGCTCAATCCGACGCTTTTATTTCAGATTTCCACTCACGTCTGTGTCGCGTTATTTCCGCAAAAGCGTCGGCGCAAAGCAAACGTGTAAAAATCCACGATGCGACTGTCGCTCGAGCTGCTGTGAAATGTTTGAATTCAGCTTTTGGATGTCAGAATTTACGCTGAGCGTCCGTGAGCTTTCCCACCCTCACGATCATCTAAGCTGTTTTTTTCCTCCTGGTAAGGAAAACCGCCCCGGAGAATCTCAAAACTCATAAGCACGCAGCTTACGTGGTCTCCTAATTTTGCTTTCCACCTTTTGTTGAATAGAAAATAATATTTTCTGTAACAAATCTTAAAACAGGCATGGAGTGGTGACTTGTTTCTGAGGACCTGGCCCGGGAATTCTTTGGTTTATTCCTGTAACCTGAAATGGAACCACAAGTGATTCCGAGCACCATCATCATTAGATCCTGCTCTTTTATGCACGTATTCAGTGAACGGAGCAGCAGACGCTATCGGCTGCAGAGAAACATCAGGACAAGCAGGCTAACCTTGACTAGAACGGAGCTGAGTGGCGATCCTTCTGCAGCAAGATAATTAAGTCACTTCAGCCCCCCCCCCCCCCCCCATCCTCAGAGACACGCCTGTGCGGGCTCGATCCTGAGCTCAAATGTCAATGATGAGGCCCCTTGATGGCTCGGTGGAGACGAACGGCTGATTAGCTTATCACCCGGAGAGCAGGCGGCCGGCGGCAAGCGCCCTCGGAGCGTCGCGGCCCGGTATCGAGAGGCCTTGATAATGACTCATCGTTTGTTTTTTTTTTGTTGCATCGGGTTGCTGCATGTTCTGTTTCCATGAGGAAACACCAGCAGATCTCCCACGTGGAGCTCCGTCTGGTGGCCTCTGATGGTCCAGGATGTGCAAAACCTGAAGCTCAAATGGGAAAATCCTCAAGTCACCGGTCAACCAGCAGATCTGAGCCACCAAACCTTCATGATCAACAGTTTCATTCCATCTTCCTACAGAGGGACGGGTAGAGATGCACCGTTCTGGTTTTCTGAGCCGACATCCAGCTCATCTGATGCCGATTTTGCCCGACCCTGATTGACGGAATGAAATCTTCTGAAATCTCTGATTAACTTAAATATTTTGATGCTGGAATGAAACGTTCGCGTAGAAGATGCTCGAGGTTCAAAATGTTATCACATCAACGAAAGGCTGATGCGGAATAGATGGTTTTCTGATCTCTGCAGGTGTTTAATGACCTGTTTTACTGCTGGGACCAAGTCCAGGTCCTGTAGCTGATACAGGCTAGGCTTTCTGGTAGTATTTGGTCAAGGGTAACAGGGGCGTGGCCTGGGGGGAGGGGCCTGGGGGAGACATTACATTGTTCACAAAAGGCTTGGGGTAAAATAAAAAAAAACATAACCATCGGTGCCACCCATGTACAATGAAGTGCGCCCCCCCCCCCCCCTCTGGGCCACCCGAGTTTAAAAGATCTGGACACGCCCCTGCAGGGTAAGAGCTAGGAGAAAGCTTTTGTTTATTTAATTACAGCTGATTGTCAGGCGCGTTTGTTGTTTTTGCTGCTGCTGCTCAGTTTTAGTTTCCGGTTGTGGGTCGTGGATTTCCTCCTCGTCTCTGAGCTAAGGAAGTGTGTCGGACTCGTGCACGATTCTGCTGTTGCTCATTTACGGAAAAATAGTTTGGACTTTTGTGATCAGCTGTAGGAGTTTCGTCCTGCAGAGATTAGCTGGTTGTCATGGAAACGGCGTGAGAGTCTGAGAGTACTTCTGCTGGGTTTGTGTCTTTGTTTGGTGCTTTTTTCCAAAGGTTGGACCGGGGTTGGGATTTGGGTCTGTGAGGCGCTCCGCCCGGAGGAGTCGGCAGCTTTTAATCCGAGTCGGAGTCTGCTGTTGGTCAGCACTTCTCTTGTGCTCCTCGTGGAGAACACGGATCCTAGGCGAATTCCACATGTCGCCGCTGGAATGAAGCCTTGGCACACCTTTGTGATTCTGCTGCAAACAGGTGTCGGCGGGATGAGGGATTACTGAGCAGCAACAGGACGGAGACGGGAATCACAATGGTTCTGATCCCAGCGTGGTCCGAGGAAGCCTTTTCCATTCAGCTCCCTCCCCTCCCGGCTGGAAAACCTCAAACTTCCAGCGGCCTTTTCTGGGATCTCGTACCCGGCTCACTCTTCACGTTTTCACTTTCTTTTATTCCTCCATTCTCTCGCCCTCGTTTTTATTCTCTCCCTCTCTTTCCTCCCATTCTTCAGCTCTGGGCCTGTGTCCGAGCCAGCCGGGCTGGCGGCGGCTCCGTCCCGGCTCCCGAGTGGAGGCCCTTTTGTTGGAACAGCTTTTGGTGGAATTAAAAAGGTTGCCAGTCTCCCCCCTCTTCCTCCCCCTCCTCCCCCATCCTGGTTCTTTCCAGCCTTCATTGTTTGGAGGGAGGAGGGAGCAGAGGGGAAAATCAAGAGTGTGAAAATGTTGAGAGAAGCATCTCTGCTTGGTGTGTTCAGAGCTCACAGCCCACCCTGTCCTCCTTGTCCTCCTTGTCCTCCTTGTCCCTGTCCTCCTTGTCCTCCTTGTCCCTGTCCTCCCTGTCCTCCCTGTCCTCC